GTTTCGTGGCCTTTGTAAAACATAGTGGTTTTCTATTTCGTCTATTCGTAAGTAATTCAAATTAGAAATCTATATCTCAATTGTTTTATAAAGTTATCTATCAACTGATTGCTTACCGATGGCCATAAGAATTGACGTAACATATACATTTTTGTGTTACTCAATGATAATTCTACAATTTACTCTTACCACCTACTTCTACAAAGTTTTTGTAACAACATTCTCAGACAAAATTACACATATACGCCAGCAATTGTTTAATAAAACTAAATTACTAACTTTTGATTTAACATACGTTGGCAACGTGGTCCAAATGCAATAGCTATATAATTATTATGCCAAGATATTCTTTAAGGGGTGGAATTAAATTGTATTCTTATCTTTAAGAATCTAGGTCAATTTTAAAAGCATTTCCTTTAGCAACAAAGTGTTAATAATTAACTCTATATCGCCTATATAAAGAAAATTGACATATGTATATGAAAATACGTATATAATTAAACTTATAAAAGTTTTTAAACTGGAGGGCGAAATTTTATAAAAATAAAAGGTTTAGAATTAATTAAAATGTTTACTTATTTAACAAAAAAGTTTTTAGAATCTCTAATGGTGTTTCAAATTAAAACAAGTTTAACGGCCACTAGCTTTATCTAGTGTTAAACAATTAATTAAAATGTTTAATAAAATGTTCTAAAAGTCTATTAAGTGTTAATAAAAATTGAGAAAATTGAAGTGAATAAAAACTAATCAATATAGTTAATTAACAACAACACTTAATATTTAACAGCTTTGTTTTATCAAAATTAAGTTTAATTTACTTTCACATGTATTCTAATTTTCACACACTAGCATAAACAAACCATATCGACGCCAAGTTTGTGCCTTAAGTCTTTTGTTTTCTTTAACCAGACATAACAACAAAATATATGTAAAATATTTCTACATGCTAGTTAAAGTTGTTTTGATAACAAAAAAAGAAAAACAAAACAAGGATTTTAACGATTCTTTGAAGTTTAAATTTTATATTTTCATATTCAAAAAACAAACAAAAAAAAAACTAAAACAGAAACAGAAACTGCATAAATATGTATGCACAACACATAAAAGGTGGCTTTTTATATTAAGAACCCATCATTAAGCCAAGCACGTTTTATCATAAATGTATTGTAGAATAAAGAAAATACATTATTTAATGTCAGTATGAAAAGCCACAATGAAGAATATTGTTAAAAAAAAAATACTGGAAAAAAATACAAAAATAACCAAGCGGATGTTTATACGTTTTTTTTCTGTATTTTAATTTTAGTGTGTGTGTGTAAATGATAATAGTCAACAAGATGGAAACTATTAATTTAACGGAAATGCATCATTGATTAAATAATAATAACAAAAAACCACAGAAATTTACAGATATTTTAACAATTTCTTTCTTTTATTTTATTACTTCAACACGTGCTTTTTCTGCTAGTTATTTGTTTAAACATTTAGTGGGTTGTTGTGTGAGTCATTAAACTTTTTTTTGGTGTTTTTTGTTTTTTTGGTTTTAGGTTAGTTATAATGATGTTGTTTTTATTTCGTAGGTTGTAAATTAATTAAATAATTTTGTCTTTGGTTTTATTTAACGCTTTAGGTGTTTTCTTGTGACAATTGACTTGTTTTTGTTTATTTATACATCATTAATGAATTCATTTATTTGAGTTTATTTTTTGTTTTCACTCAGCAAGCTTGAGCATTTGATTAGTTATTATGTAATAGTATTTCAACATGATTTCAAATAAATAGAAAAACGCATATGTAAAAAAATAATTAATATTTCTCGAAAAATTTTCTACCAAAAGGCAACTTATCGAAAATTTTCTATAAAAAGATAATTTAATGAGATTTTTCTATAATAAAAGAGAATTTAATGAGAATTTTCTATAAAAAGAGAATTTAACGAAAATTTTCTATTAAAAAAGAATTTAACGAGAAATTTTTATACAAAGAGAATTTAATGAAAAATTTCTATACAAAGAGAATTTAATGAAAAATTTCTATAAAAAGAGAATTTAATGAAAATTTTATATATAAATAAAATTTTATGAAAATTTTATATAAAAAGAAAATTTAATGAAAACTTTCTATAAAAAGAAAATTTAACGAAAATTTTCTATAAAAGGAAAATTTAACAAAAATTTTCTATAAAAAGAAGATTTAAAGAAAATTTTCTATAAAAGAAAATTTTACGAAAATTTTCTATATAAAATTTAACAAAAATTTTCTATAAATAGAAAATTTAACGAAAAATTTCTAAAAAAAAGTTATCGAAAATTTTGTATAAAAACAAAATTTAACGAAAATTTTCTATAAAAAGAGAATTTAACGAAAATTTTCTATAAAAAGAAAATTTATTGAAAATGATCTATAAAAAGAAAATTCATCGAAAATTTTCTATAAAAAGAAAATTCATCGAAAATTTTCTATAAAAAGAAAATTCATCGAAAATTTTCTATAAAAAGAAAATTCATCGAAAATTTTCTATAAAAAGAAAATTCATCGACAATTTTCTATAAAAAGAAAATTCATTGACAATTTTCTATAAAAAGAAAATTAATCGACAATTTTCTATAAAAAGAAAATTCATCGACAATTTTCTATAAAAAGAAAATTCATCGAAAATTTTCTATAAAAGAAAATTCATCAAAAATTTTTTACATAAAAAGAAAATTTATCGAAAATTTTTTACATAAAAACAAAATCGAGAATTTTCTATAAAAAAGAAAATTTATCAAAAATTTTCTATAAAAAAGAAAATTTATCGAAAATTTTCTATAAAAAAGAAAATTTATCGAAAATTTTCTATAAAAATGAAAATTTATCGAAAATTTTCTATAAGAAAATTTATCGAAAAATTTCTATAAAAAGAAAATTCATCGAAAATTTTCTGTAAAAAGAAAATTTATCGAACATTTTCTATCAAAAGAAAATTTATCGAAAATGTTCTATAAAAAAGAAAATTTATCGAAAATTTTCTATATAAAAAGAAAATTTATCGAAAATTTTTTATAAAAAAGAAAGTTTATCAAAAATTTTCTATAAAAAAAGAAAATTTATCGAAAATGTTCTATAAAAAAAGAAAATTTATTGAAAATTTTCTATAAAAAATGAAAATTTATTGAAAATTTTCTATAAAAAAGAAAATTTATCGAAAATTTTCTATAAGAAATGAAAATTTATCGAAAATTTTCTATAAGAAAAGAAAATGTATCGAAAAATTTCTATAAAAAAAGAAAATTTATCAAAAAATTTCTATTAAAAAAGAGAATTTATCAAAAATTTTCTATAAAATGAAGATTTATCAAAAATTTTCTATAAAATGAAGATTTATCAAAAATTTTCTATAAAATGAAGATTTATCGAAAATTTTCTATAAAAAGAAGATTTATCGAAAATTTTCTGTAAAAAGAGAAATTAAAGAAAATTTTCTATAAAAAAGAGAATTGAATGAAAATTTTACGAAAATTTTCTTTAAAAAAATTTAATTTTCGAATATTTTCTATAAATAGAGAATTTATCCCATAAAAAGAAAATTATCAAAAAAATTTTATAAAAAGAATTTGTAGAAATAATTCTATAATTTTTTTCAATTTTGTTTCTATTAAACAAACATTTCCTAAAAAATCAAGTTTCTTGCTTAAGTCTTTCGTTTTCTCGTTATAACTTATTGTACTTTAGCTCGTTTTACAATTGTAATTCAATAGCTATTTAAGTTTTTTTCATTATTTCTACAAGTCAATCACCTTTTATAATTATTTAATATTTTGTCATTATTTCTTTGTTGTTCAAAAAAGAACAATTATAAGGCGTATTTGGCCCACGTACAGTTATTATTAAACAACCAAAATTGGCAAATGAAGTATGTCATAAGTAGAAAGACAAACAGTTAAATTCTTTACAGAAAGGCAATTAAAAAATCATAGAAAATAATTAAAAAAGGAATAATAAAACGTATATTCTTAGTAAAGTTTATAATAAAAAATTACTAATAAATTTAAGCATGAATTTAATTTAAGAGGGTATCATGGTGTTATAGTTAAAGTTATTATGTCATTGTGATATTTCTGTTTTTTTTTTAGCAAAGAAAGGAATATAGGGTGTCTAATTTGATTGAACTTAAAATGAAACCTTTTCTGTATTTTTTATTTTGTTTCACACTTTAACGCTTATTTTTCATTGAAGATCTTTAATGAATAAAAAAATCTATATATAAAACGTACATTCATAAAATCATCATTATAGCTGAACGCTGTATTATTACACGTTTATTTCTAAGCTTATTAAAAAAATCTTTATTTTTTGTGAAAAATTCTCAAGAAATTGTATAACAAAAGCTAAAATATAACTTGCAAGGGGTAAACATTCATTTACCAAATCTTACACAAGCTGCCATTAAATTTTTTGAAGATTCTCAGGCTTGTTTTTTTATTATTATTTTTTTTTTTTTTTTGGTGTGAGTAAATGATAAATGTTAGTTTTGAAAATTGAATCATATGAATTCTTGGAATTTTTAAACAGATAAGGTACAATTTTTTCTGGGTATGATAATTTTGGTTTGTTTTTTCAAGGGTATTTGGCAGAAGTATTAAAAAAAATGAAGATTCTGAGAGACAAAGCAAACAAAAAATGTCATTTTGTTCTGATGAATGAATAAGTTTTGAAATGATATCAATGGCTTGAGTGGGGTTAAAATTTAGGCTCATTTAGTCCAAGGCTAACTTTTGATATATGTAACTGAAAAGAACAACCTTAAAGTTTTACTTATTTCCTTTCAGGAAATCTAACTTTTTCTTTTACAAACTAAACCAAACCAAGGAAATCCCAATAAAAATGCTAAACTACCTTGACAGAAAAACAAAAAACTTAAGACACTAATAAATACAAACAAATTTCACTATCTAATGAAATCACTTTTAAAACAATAATTTACTACAATTGTTTTATTCTATTACTTTTTATTACAGATGCCTCATCGACAATGGACACCACAATGCCACCACCACATATGATGATGGCAATGGAAACCACAATGTTACCGGATTCAAAGCAAGAAGATTCATCAACCACAACAACGAGTACAACAACGGAAACAAATAAATTAATTGAAACAACAAATGAAGGAGAAACTTCATTGCCAATGACAACAATTGAACCGATTATGACAACAGAGCCCACAACAACACCTACTATACTCAATGAGCAACACCACAACAACAACCACATGTTGATGATGAATGAAATGATGATGAATGAACATCATGATCATGAACATAAACCACAAGAAGAGCAACAACATGCTGATGAACATCATCATAATACAAATGAAGAGGATCATATACAAAGGATAAATGAACAACATGAACATGAGCATCATGATCATCCTAATCATGAGCATGAACATTACGATCATCATCAACACCTGTTGACATCTACTACTACCACTGAGAAATTCAATGAAATTGAACCTCAAACTGAAGAGCACATCAATCAAATTTCTGCCGAAGTTGAAGATGATGTTAAAGACTTGAATAATTTTAGACATCCCGCTACCCTAATCACAGCTAGTCAAAGTGAAGAATCACTTAATAGAGAAAAAGACATTTCGAAAACATTGGAAGAGCATGAAGATCCCTATCATGCTCATATATTGTCGGAGAATCATGATCGTTTGGCCGAACATGAGGACTATCAAATGTTATCCAGTACTGAAGAATCCATGGATACATTAACAACAACAACAACTACACCAAAACCTTTGGAACATACACAAACTGATGAAAATGAATCAATTGCCAAACCCGCCATACTATTTAATGGCGTTATGCACAATGAAACCACAGAGGGTAGGGCTAGAGCCATCAACATGAATGACGATGATGATGATGACGAAGAGCAAGAAAGTATTTTAACTACATCAACCACAGTGGCCACACCTGTGGGACCAGTAATTAGCATTACTGAAGGACATCAAATGACTGAACACAATCATGAACACCCACATGATCATAGTACACACGATCACACCGTACATGATCATAGCACCCACGATCACACCACCACACATGAGCATAACCATACTACTAACGATATGGCCGAACATGATGAGCAGCAACAACAGCACATGACCTCTTCTAGCACCACAGAAAAGTCTCATGATATGCCAGCTGTTTATGTTTTCAATGGCGAGGGTCGCTCCGTTGACTCTTCCATATCAGCCGAAGATGAAGATAACTTAAATTATCATTATAATTTTGTGACAACACAACGAGCCCACGACAATCATGAGCAAAAAACTTCACCATTCAAAGACTTAAGCGATGTCAGTATGGACGACGACGAAGAAGAGGCCAAAACACATGAACATTTACATGAACACAATGGTCATAATCAACATTTTGCTATACATGAAAATACCAAAGAGGAGATGACCACTACCAGTAAGCCGAATGAAAATAATGCCACTACAAACCCTGATGAGGAGCCACAAATGAAAATAACTGAAATTACAGCAGCCGGTGATACAATGCATCGTGAATGTATGGCAGATGGCAAAAGTTATAAGGTAAGTTTTCCATTTGTGTTTAAGATAGGAGGGAGAGAGAGGGAGGGGTGAATAAAAACGTTAACGATTTGTAATTAAATAACATCTGAATTGACCCTGTAGTTGTCGTTTGTTATTAGTTTATAATAGAGGTTTTTTTTCAAAGAATGTTTATTAAGTGAACATGATCAGTTAAAAAACAATAATTTAATATTTAAATAATTTTGTTTTAAGAAAATGGGAAAAGATGTGTAAAATCTTGAAAATCAATTAATTTTATTAAATTGTTTAAAATAAACATAAACAATAGATAAATGCAGCTTGATAATGTCAATTCTAAAAAGAGAAATAACCTTTAGGAGAAGGCAACATACAACATTCCAAACAAATAAAGTTTTATCTAAAGTCTGGGCTATAGTTTAGACAGGACTACAGTTTGGTACATAGTATTGACTATTATTTAGACCATAGTCTCCAGTTAAGTCTATAGTGTCGACTATAATTTATACTAGATTCTATAAAGTTTCGTCTATGGTCTCAGCTAGACTATAGTCTATAGTCTCAAGTATAGTTTAGTTGATAGACTTGACTACAGTTCAGGCTATATAATTGACTACAGTCTCGACTATAATTTATTCAATTGTCTAGACTATAGTGTGATCTACAGTGTCGACTAAGTTTAGTGCATAGTCTTGATTATAGTTTAGTCCACAGTCTCGCCTAGTTTGAGATGATTTAATCTTTAGACTTGACAATTTGTTGTCTACAATCTCGACTATAGTTTAGCTTAGTCTATAGTTTAGATTAAGTTTAGTTTACAGTCTCGTTTTTAGTTCAGCCTATAGTCTCGTCTACTATTTGTCTATAACATCAACTATAGTTTAGTGCATAATCTCGACTATAGATTAGTCCATAGTCTCGACTATAGTTACTCTATAGTTTCGACTAAGTTTAATGCATAGTCTCGATTATAGTTTATTCGATAGTTTGATAGTTTGCTTTTTAAATTGTAGTCTCGACTGTAGTCTACAACCTCGACTATAGTTCAGTTTAGTCCATAGTTCAGATTAAGTTTAGTCTACACTCTCGTTTTTAGTTCAGCCTACCGTCTCGTCTACTTTTTTGTCTATAGCATCAACTATATATAGTTTAGTGCATAGTCTCGACTATAGTTACTCTATAGTTTTGTCTATAGTTGGAACAATTTGATCTTTAGACTTGATCATAGTTCAGTCTATAGCCTCTACTGCTTTTTAGTATGTATTCTCGACTGTAGTCTACAATGTCGACTATAGTTTAGTTTAGATTAATTTTAGTCTACAGTCTCGTTTTAGCTCAGTCTATAGTATCGTCTACTTTTTGTCTATAGCATCAACTATAGTTTCATCTATAGTTTAGTCTATAGTCACTACAATAGTTTAGTAATAGTCTCGGCAATAGGTTGGTCTTTAGTCTGGAATATAGTTATGACTATAGTACACTACATGTTGATCTATAGTTTAAACTCTAGTTTAGTCTAAAGTATACAGTATAGTTTGCCCTACATGTCAGTCTATACCCTGGCTTTAGTCTCTTTACAATAGTCTAAAGTCTATACTATAGTTTTCTTTATACTGCCGACTATGGTTATGTCTACAGTTCAGTTAATACTTTCTACTACTGTATCGACTATAGTTTAGTCCAAAGTATCTACTATCCCTTAGTTTATAGTCTTGTTATAGTTCGAACAATAATATTTGACATGTGTTACTTCCTTTTCTATACTTGTCTAATCATTTCAAGGATTTTATTTTCCTGTTTAATGTAACATATCATATTTAGTATTTCACAATATAAGAAAAACATAATCCACAGACAAAAATAAATCAACATTTTGATGTTACTTGTCATGAGACAAAACGCCTTTAGAGAAATTTTCTTTAATTTTAACTCAAACATATTTTCAAATTTCAAACAACTAAAATAAAACTTTGACTACTAAATAAAATAAAAACCATTTTCCTGCACATGAAATATAGACATTAAAAAATAAAGAAAATAAAACCAAAAAACTACATACATACTACATACATATATGTACATAAATTACCTGATTATCATTACATTTGCTTTAGTTTTAAAGTCATTGTCCGCATTAAATACAACACACTTTGATTTTACGCCATTCATAAAGCAGACAGACATATTTTTTTCAACACTTTTTTCTATATATTTTTTCTTGCACACAACGCAGCACATATTATCTAAAAATATATATAAATAAATATAAAATTAAAGAAAATAATACAACAAAATCATGTTTAAAAAAAAATACACAAAAAACTGGATCAACTAGGAAATGTTTTTTGATCTTTTGGAAGCAATATAAAATATAAATAAAATAAAAATTAAAATAAAAACATGAAACCGAAAGACATATATTACCAAAAAGAAATACCAGTATGTATACAAAAATTTGCCATAATCACCATAAAACTATACATTTTTTATGCAAAAATCTATTTCAAAAATCAATGTATATAAAAAGAAACAATAACTAGTTTTCCTTATAGTGGAAAAATGCTAATACAGGAAAGCCATAAAAAATAACACCAAAAAGGAAATTACTAAAAAAATACAAGTGTTATGCCAAAAAATTAAAGTAAAATAAATCAAAATGTTCAAAGAAAAGTAATCAAAAGGAAGAGTGAGATATTTGACGATTACAGCTATACTAAAGTGTAGTTTTAGTCTTGAATTTAATTCAGTCTATGGTCTCGAGTATAGTTTATTCTATAGTTACGAGTGGAGTTTAGGCTATAGTTTGTCAATAGCTTGGTTCTAAGTTCCAGCTATAAAATAGCTAGCTTTGTCTAAAGTCTTGCCTACTAGATTATAGTCTTGTCTATAATCTAATATATAGTCTTAACTATAGTTTAGTCTATAGTCTCGACTATAGCTTTGTCTATAGTCTCAACTATAGTTTAGTCTATAGTCTCGACTATTGCTTCGCCTATAGTATCGTCTACAGCTTAGTCCATAGTCTCGACTATAATCTAGTCTATAGTCTCAACTATAGTTTAGTCTATAGTCTCGACTATAACTTTGTTTATAGTCTCAACTACAGTTTAGTGACTAAGCAGTAGTATCGTCTACATCTTAGCCTATAGTGTCGACTATAGCTTAGTCTATAATCTCGAATATAGCTTAGTCTATAGTCTCAACTATAGCTTAGTTATAGTCTACAATTTATAGTGTTCATTATATCTAAGTTATAGTCTCAACTACAATGTTGACTATAGCTTTGCCTATAGTCTCATCTGCAACATAGCATATAGTCTCGACGATAGCTTATTCTATATTCTCGACTGTAGCTTATTCGACCATTGCTTAGTCTATGATCTCGACTTTAGGTTAGGTGTAGACTCGATTTTAACATAGTTTCGATTATAGATAAGTCTATAGTCTCTGCTATAGCTTAGGCTATAATCTAGACAACAGCTTAGTGTTTACTCCCGACTATAGCTTAGCCTTGGCTTTGGCTTTTGTAGCCTACTATAGTTTAGTCTATAGTTTCGACTATAGCTTAGTCTACAATCTCGACTATAGCTTAGTCTATATTCTCAACTATAGTTTAGTCTATAGTCACGACTATAACTTTGTCTATGGCCTCAGCTATAGTTTAGTCTACAATCTTGACTATAGCTTAGTGACTAAGCTATAGTCTCGACTATTGCTTCGCCTATAGTATTGCCTGCAGTTTAGTCTATAAATTAGTCTATATAGACTATATAGTCTCAATAGCTTAGTTATAGTATATAATTTACAGTCCATAGTGTTCATTGTATCTAAGTTTATAGTCTCAACTATAACCTTGTATATAATACTGACTATAGCTTTGCATATTCTATCATCTCTATCTATCAGCTTATTCTATCATCTCGGCTATAGCTTATTCTATAATCTCGACTATAGCTTATTTTATAATCTCGACTATAGTCTTAACTATAGCTTGGTTATAGTCTCGACTTTTACTTAGTCTCTAGTTACTTCTATTACTTCGACTATAGCTTAGTCTTTACTCTCGACCATTGCGACATAGTCTATAGTTTCGATTACATATAAGTATATAGTCTCGGCAATAGCTTATTCTATAGCTTAGTGTATACTCTCGACTATAGCTTAGTCTATTGTCTCGACTTTGGCTTTTATATCCTACTATAGTTTAGTCTATAGTCTTGACTATAGCTTAGTCTATAATCTCGACTATAGTCTATAGTCTCGACTATAGCTTAGTCTATATTCTAAACTATAGTTTAGTCTATAGTCTCGACTATAACTTTCTCTATAGTCTCAACTATAGTTTAGTCTACAATCTCGACTATAACTTAGTGACTAAGCTATAGTCCCGACTATTGCTTCGCTATAGTATCGTCTACAGCTTAGTCTATAGTATCGACTATAGCTTAGTCTATAATCTCAATAGCTTCTTTATAGTCTATAATTTACAGTCTATAGTGTTCATTATATCTAAGTTTATAGTCTCAACTATAACCTTGTTTATAATACTTGGTTATAGTCTTGGTTATAGTCTCGACTTTTACTTAACCCCGACTATAGCTTAGTCTATACTCTCGACTATTGCTTAGTCTATGATCTCGACTTTGGAATAGTTATAGTCTCGATTTTAACATAGTCTATAGTTTTGATTACAGAGAAATCTATAGTCTCAACAATAGCTTAGTCTATAATCTCGACAATTGCTTAGTGAATACTCTCGACTATAGCTTAGTCTATAGGCTTACTTTATTTTCGGCATTCTCCGACAGCCGGTTCTACGTACCGGAATGACCCGAAATTTTTCGGCCAAGGGCTGCCATCCTCAGCAACAACTACAACTACAATTGCTTAGTGAATACTCTCGACTATAGCTTAGTCTATAGGCTCGACTTTGGCTTTTGTCGCCTACAGCTTAGTCTATGGTGTCGACTATAGACTTTAACTTACTCTATAGCTTCGATTACAGGTAAATCTATAGTCTT